GATTTATAAAGCCTATATCTTCAAAATTCTAAACCCTAAAAATTGTTTTGACTCCTAAAACCCCCTAAAGACTCAAAACTAAACCATAATACAATATAGTTAACCCAAACATAAATTATATAATAAAAAAATAATTTTGAAAAAATAGCATTTTTGCAAAGATTTTGAAAAAATTACATTTTTGAAAAATAATACTTGAAAAGTGGCATTTTTAAAAATTTCTCATTGTTTTGTTATCTGGGCGTGGCAGGAGGAAGATTTGGAGGGATAAATTATTCGGGAATAAAGTATTACAACAGGTTAATCGATGCTCTCATTAGTAGAGGTAATAATGTTTGTCTTTAATTGTCCGTACATATAATTGTTACTATTAAGTTAATGTAGTTTAAGATTGTGATCTTTATAATAAATATTTCCAGGGATTAAACCATTTGTGACGTTGAACCATTTGGACTATCCTCAAGAACTTGAGAACCGGTTTCAAAGTTGGTTAAGCTCCGAGATGCAGTAAGTGGTTTTAGTAAACGCTCTAATCAATAGTTCCTACCAAACTAAATTTTTAATGATCTCTAGTTACATCTTTCGCTTTTTGTAGGAATGATTTCGAGTACTTGGCTGATTTATGTTTTAAACATTTTGGTGACCGAGTTAAACACTGGACCACATTAAACGAACCAAACCAACAAATAATATTGAGTCATCTAAAAGGCAAGTTTCCGCCGTCCCGCTGCTCCTTACCATACGGAAACTGTAGTCAAGGAAACTCGGAAACCGAGCCTTTCATAGCCGCGCATAACATGATCCTCGCACACGCAAATGCCGTTCAGATATATCGAACAAAATATCAGGTAACTTAATAAACCGATCGATAGTCGAATAAGCATCTTAATTAACAGTTATTTCGGTCTAATATCGATAGAACTATGATGCGGTTCAGGGAGAACAAAGGGGAATCATTGGCATTGTAGTGCAAACATCATGGTTTGAACCCATCAGCGATTCCATTGCGGATAAAGAAGCTGCAGAGAGAGCTCAATCTTTTTATTCAAATTGGTATTCCTTAATGATTTATTATATTCATATATAAAATTTACATAGATGTGTATATAATTCACATGCTAAATGTTCTTATATATTGTATGCTAAAATACCAGGATTCTAGATCCGGTCATATACGGAAAATATCCAAAAGAAATGGTGAATATACTTGGATCGGCTTTGCCGCGATTTACGAGAAAGGAAGGGGAGATCTTAAAGAAGTCAAGATTAGATTTTGTAGGCATTAATCACTATACAAGTTTCTTCATTCAAGATTGTTTGCTCTCATCTTGTAATGCTGGAGATGGAGCTTCTAAAGTTGAAGGATTTGCACTCAAGTTAGACCGAAAAGGCAATGTTTCTATCGGAGAACTAGTAAGCACATTTTGATCATTTTTTTGTTTTTCAAATTTCTTTTGGTATTCGCAAATGTACATTCTTGTACTTTAAAATCACCTTTTAAATGTTTGTTTTTTAGACAGATGTAAATTGGCAGCACATTCATCCGGAAGGGTTCCGAAAGATGTTGAATTACCTGAAAAATAGGTACCACAACATACCGATGATCATAACTGAAAACGGTACAAGACCTCAAGACTTAGCCAATTATCGAGTCATGTTTAATATATTTGTTTGGAATGTATTTTGACCGATGCAAATCGGTATTTTTTAGGTTTCGGAGACTTGCAAAAACCCGAGACAACAGTAAAAGATATTCTAAATGATACTAAAAGGATACAATACATGAGTGGATATTTGGATGCTTTGGAGTCAGCAATGAGGTAAAGAGACTATATGTGACTTGCACAGTGAAGCAAACCCAATATCTCAATAGCATTTAGTTTGCCTTTGAACCATATGAACTATGTCAAACTGATATACACATTGATATATAATGCATAGCCTTATTAGTATTGTAATTTTGTGAATTTTTTTGTAGAGATGGAGCAAATGTGAAGGGCTACTTCGCATGGTCACTATTGGATAATTTCGAGTGGTTGTTCGGATACAAGCTTCGATTTGGGCTATATCACGTTGATTATACAACTCTCAAAAGGACACCAAAACTATCAGCTTTGTGGTACAAAAACTATATTGGAGAGAACATTAGAAGAGGATGTTATTAGATATAATAACATATGGATTTTTTTTAGTTTCTATATAACAATAATCTTCTTACCACTTTGTGATAATAATCGGAAAAACATTTTGCTGAATGTTGCCTCTAATGAAATCAAATACTTCTCCCGGTTCGATCTTTGTTTCATATCTTCTTCATACATCTGATTGTCACAGCTATTCAATAAGGCAGATTTCTCTATAATCACCAACTAATGTTTATTTTCTCACCAAGACACCAACTAATGGTTTTCATCTACATTAGAAGAGGAGTGCAATTTCTCTATATATAAGCAAAAAAATATACCAACATATTTATGAAAATAATTCATTCATATGAGTGGATTGGTTAATATGTCGTTTATCATACCTCACACGTATCATATTTTGTTTCTTTCAAGATGATGACTAGTTTCTTCTCAAAAACAAAAAATAACTAGCATTCATTTCGACAATATTTCCATTATAAACTTGATATATATATATATTTTTAATCGCCATATTAGTTCTGGGTCGGTCCATTTCTCTTCTTCGTGAATCGTGTTTCATCTTCCTTCACCGAAACAACTTCAAGTTTGCATAGAAAGAGATGAGTCTAAGTGTAATTGTCTTCACGTCTTTTACCTGCTCGATGGTTTTTGGCGCCGGAATTCAAATTACAAAATAGGAGTAAAGGTTTACTAATACCAATCAGCATGTCTATGTCATCGATCGATTTAAATCCCTCTTGCCAGACAACTGTTCGACGAAATGCCTCAAAGAAAATCTCACAAAGCAAAGTAATCTGATTCACAACTACACTTATACTTCATCTTCCTTTATACGTAATGATACAATAATATTGAAAAGATGTCTTAACATAGACACAAAGGTGTCAGAAATCGTCGTCCAAAAAAAAAAAAAAAATTGTTTCAAGGTTTTATGCATCTTAAGTGTTTATGCATTCTAATGTTCTTAGGCTTTAAACTTTAATTATGTTATTGGAACTCAATAAACATGTCCTTACAAGCCCTTTACTGTGAGTCTGTGCACTGAATCTCACCCTTTTTTTTGTTTTTTTCGGCATTGGTCATACTGCTTGAGCTTTACTC